GCTTATCAAAACACGCTTTAGTAAGTGTATATATATATATATATATATATATATATATATATATATATATATATATATATATATATATACACTTGCTAAAGCGTATATGTATATATATATATATATATATATATATATATATATATATATATATATATATATAATTTATATATATATATATTTATACATTATATATATATATTTATACATTACACCATTGGCCATAAATTAGAGCTCGCTTTTGTTTTTATTTTATAATCCTGTTTGATTTAAATTATTTTAAAAACTATTATATTTTTTTAAAAATTTATTAGTACTAATTAATAAGTATTATGTTTACTGTTAATTTGACATGTTGTTTCCTTAAAATTTATTCTGTACGCCTAATTATATATAATTTGATAACAACTACTAAATAATTTTAATTTTTTATGTTGGTCAAAAATTAAGGCTCACTGCATTATATTTAAATTTTAAGTAATATATTGATGATTTTCTTTAATAATTTTTATTTTATTTTAATCTGCATTTATTATTTCTAATTTTTTTTTGTTTTTGTTTGAAATAGTACTAAAAAAAACACAAATAAATTAAATAATAAAAAAGTTACAAAATAAGTGAAGAAATACAGCATAAAACTCCAAAATCACGATCAAGAATCTCTGAAAAAACACGTTATGAATCAATTTTTCTTCGAAACCAAGGACTATCTCATCGCCAGATAGCAAATGAGTTAAATATCGCATATTCGATTGTTGCACGTATTTTAAAATGTTTTAGTGAAACAGGTGACATTAAGGACAGACGCCTATCTGGTTGGCCAGCTGTAACAACACAAAGAGATGAGTGTTTGTTAATTCGTTTAATGAAACATGACAGAAAGTAATCGTCAAACACTCTCTGCCATAAATTAAACAATACATCTGGAATAAAAGTGAGTTCAAGAACTGTTAGAAGAATTCTTCATAGAAATAATTATATGTGGCGATCTGCATGCAAGAAGCCAAGACTTTCAAAGAAACAACAAAAAGCAAGGGTTGCCTGGTGCAATCAGCATAAAAATTGGCCTGATTGCAAGTGGCAAAATGTTATATTCTCCGATGAAATGAATGTGGAGGTAGATATGCGAAAAAGTCGTGTTATGCTCCGGCGATCACCTCAAGAGAGATTTGATTCAAATTGTACATTAAAACGAACTAAGCAAGGTAGTGGCAGTATTGGCATTTGGGCTTGCATGAATTATGCAGGACTTGGATGCTATCGATTGTTTGAAGGTCGACTTAATGCTGATAGATATATTGAAATTTTAGAAAAGTGTCTTCTTCCCTCAATTGACTTATTTAAAGAAGAAAACAGGAATATCATATATCAACAAGATGGTGTGTCATGCCATACAGCAAAATTATCCAAACGATGGTTTGTAGAAAACCAAATATCAATACAAAATATTAGAATGCTTTTTTTTTGGTTTTGCTCTTGTAAATTGTTGTTCTTATATTTTATTTAGAACATATCCTTAACTTTTAGCCAATTTTTTTTTTGAAAAAAAATAACCTGTTTCATTATTTTCCATTTTTTAGTATCAAGACTGTTATGTTTATATTTAGCTTTTTGGATTTGCATAATGTATATAGATTTTACTTATAATATTAAAAAAAAAAAAAAATAATTTTTATTTTCAATTAATTTTATTTTAAAATTATGTCTTATAAAAAAAAAAAAGGGAGCTCTTATTTATGGCCAATGGTGTTTATATATATATATATATATATATATATATATATATATATATATATATATATATATATATATATATATATATATATATATATATATATATATATAATGGTGTGTATATATATATATATATATATATATATATATATATATATATATATATATATATATATATATATATATATATATATATATATATATATATATATATACAGTGTCTGAAGAGGAGAAAAAAAAGAAACAGGTTAGTATTCGGTAAATTAGAAATACAATCCCGCCTAATAATTGTTATATATAGATTTATATATATATGTTATATATATATGTTATATATATATATATATATATATATATATATATATATATATATATATATATATATATATATAAACGTACCTTTTATTAAGTTGTATAGCTTGGTTAGACTAAAAAGATCCTTTGCCTTTTCCAGCTGCCATATTAGATTTGGCCATGAGTGAATTTGTCATAAAACTAAAAATAATATATTTTAATAATATTATATCTTATAGTTTATGAAATTATAATTAACTACTGTATTTAAAATTTTTTTTTTTCATAAAATCTAAATGTAATTAAACATTTATAATTTATTTTAGTGATACAGTTTATCTATTAATTAAATCTAATCTATTATTTAAAAAATAGAACACTAACCATTAATGTAGTCCAGATCATAAGTGTACACTAGTGTAGTCATATATATGAATATTATCTGAGTTAAAAGAATTATCTGGACTAAAGTTTAAAGCTATAGGATAACCTATAGCTTTAAACTTGCAAACTGGAAAAAGTGTAAATTGGCATTAGTGCGCCAAACAGGTAAGCAAACATTACGAATAGGCATAAGTGCAAATTTGATTAAGTACAAAACAGTTACAAACACTGGCAGAAGTGCGAACTGACATAAGTGCATGTAATAAATTTGCAAACATCGGCCAAAGTGCTAATTGGCATTTCGACCATATGTTAGTTTGCAGTTATGCCAGTTTGGAATTGTGCTAAATTTTGCAAATTTATTTGGCACACTTATGCCAGTTCGCATTTATGTTGTTTGCACTTTTGCGAGTTTTTGCAACTGCTTCACACTTATACCATTTCCCACTTATGGCAATTCACACTTATGCGAATGTTTGTAAATCTATTTAGCGCACTTATGCTAATTTACAAATATGCCAGTTTGCACTTATAGCAGTTTGCACTTATGCCAATGTTTGGAATTGTTTTTGTGCAGTTATGCCCATTTGCACTTATGCCATTTAGCATTGTGCCAGTTTTTGTAACTGCTTCGCACATGTGCTAGTTTGCGCGTATGAAATTCACGATTATTCAGTCATCCCATTATGGTAAAACGGCTAACGTAGAGCCATGCATGGGATTTGTATTATGGATTGTAAGATGGGAGTAATATTATTATAAAATTAAACAGAGTATTTATAGGAATGCACTTTTAATTTACAACCTCTTCATCATAGCTATCACAAGTTTTTGACAGTTCTTACCACCAATATTTTGAACTCTTTGTTTTTAATAGAAAGAAATAATGGAAATCTGACAATTCCTAATTTAGTAGTAAAAATTATATATTGTAAAGAAAATTTTAAAAAAAAGAAAAATCTGTCAAATCAGTATTTAGCAATTTACAACTGCAGAGATACTACAGAGTTACTAGATGAAATATTGTCAAGTGCTGAGTCAAACTTATCAAATTCTATTATGCTGTTCATTTCAATTACTACTTCTTCTTCACACTATTTTATATAAAGTTTTTTGCATCCTTGGGTTTTTATCTCATTTAAGAGAAGCAACACACAATATTGAAAGTCTAAACAAATTTACAATAATTAAATTTTACACAGTCTTAACTAAACTACGTAAATAAATATATTTAAAATACATAAATTTAACAATTTAACAACTTTACTGGTATAACCCTAAATCAGAGAAAAACTAATAGACAGTAAAATACCTAATAGTGGCAATGCTATATTATATATATTAGGGTTTTTCTCAGATTTCGGGTTAGACAAGAAAGATTGTTCCATAGATTTAGTTTTGATAATATTGAAATAATGGATTTCATGAAGGTGATTATTTAAAGTTAAAATTGGAACCTCATCATTTTAATGATGTTTTTAAATATGGACAGTCATGTTAGCATTTTACAACAAACATTACAATATTATTTTTAACTAAAGACTTACTTGCTTGAGATAATGGAAATGCATGTTTATCCTTTTTATTTAAAGATGATGAAGATTGATGTGTCTTAAAATGAATCTGTTGGTCATCACAATCAATATCATCTTTGTTTATTATTTTTTGACCTACACAACACAAACATAGAGAATATTTGAATTTCATCTAACAACTTGTCTTCTCATGTAGCAATTTTACAATTAAAAAATTTTTACAAATTACTTTACAGATTAATAACTTTATAAGTAAAATAGGGTATATAGTATGGTATATAATATTATAGGTTTCAAACTGCTAAAAATTAGGCAATAACACCAGAATATCATTTTAAAATGACATTTTGAAGTCACTGACTTTCTTGAGTCAAATCATCATATTTTTTCCTTTCAGCCTTTTTAACTATAGTAATTCCTTTATAAAAACCACTGATATTATCATTTTTAATTTTTAGAGTTAAAGAAGAAAAACTCTGAGAATGTTGTTCCCTTTTTTCAAATCCAAATAATTTTTTTTTGCATTAAAAGCAGTTGATAATTAAGTAGAATTAAAAATTTAATCTAGTTTTTTTAAGCATTCAAGTTTACTCAACAATTAAGTTATTTAATAAAGTAAAATAATCTAGTTAACCACACCATAAAAACTTTATTAATCATATCTACTTGATTCAAGTAGAAATACAAAAACAACCTAGTTTCAACGAAGGCATACAACTTTAAACTAAAAATACTCCAATATATTTCAAATTTAATTCTACAAGAAAACAATACAAACACTTGGTTGATTTAAATATATACTAATTTATATAATTTTTACTTAAATAAATCAATTCGCCTAATCGAAGGTCACGCCATTATTTGCGTAAACATACTCTTTTAGATATTGCCGTGCTATACGTTTAAAAAAAGTTTTTTTATCACGCTAAAAAAACGTTTTAAAAACGTTCATAAGCTAACTGAGAAATTTCTTAAGTTAATAAAAAAAATTAAACGTTTAAAAAACGCTAAAAAAACGTTCAAATTAACATTTAAAACAACGTTTGCAAAAAAACGTTTTAACGATTGTATTGGTTCTTTTAACGTCGAATTAAAACGTTTTTAAAACGTCCTGTGCTTACTGGGTCTGTTGGATTTAAGGCACTTTAAGACAAGCAAAAGTTGCCCGCTTTCACGAATCAGCAATTATTGCATCGACAATCGACTCTGTGTATAATTCGTGAGAAGTCGATGCACAAACTAAAAGAAAAAACTATATATTTAAAACAGACAATCTGAACAGCAATAATAATATTATAGTATAAAAATAATATATAGTATAATAATAATAGTAATAAGTTTTTAAATTACAAATATATGTTTTAAAAAAATATATATAACTTCACATTGCATATATATATATATATATATACACATATATATATATATATATATATATAAATATATATATATATATATATATATATATATATATATATATATATATATATATATATATATATATATATATATATATATATATATATATATATATATATGTATATATATATATGTATATATATATATATATATATATATATATATATATATATATATATATATATATATATATATATATATATATATATATATACATGTATACACACTTTTGGCACAATATAAATAAAACAGCATCACATTGAAATAAAAATGACTCTGCATTGTCAGTAATAAGCGCCACTAATAAAACATAAGAAATTCTGACTAAAAGACTAGTATTTTGTATGCCCTCCAAGCGCATTAAGCACGGCCTGTACAAGTCTTGGCATAGATTATACCAGCTTTTGGATTGCTGGCCATGCAGCTTGCAAATGTTGCCACAAATCATCCAGATTGCTGGGTTTGGTTTTCTGTACTTTTCTGAAGAGCTCCTCCTACAAATTTTCAATGGGGTTTAGGTCAGAATTTTGTGGAGGCCATTTAATAGCATTGGTACGAGCATGTTTGAGATATTTTATTACTTTCTTAGCTTTGTGGCAAGAAGCATTGTCTTGTTGAAAGAAAAATGATTTGTTTTTACCAAACAGTTTGTTTGCTGATGGTTTCATTTGTGTTTTTAATATTTCCGAATATTTATCCTGGTTTACCATGCCTGTACAACAATATAAATGACCTACACCTGATCCTGATGACATGCAACCCCATACCATAAGAGAGCCTCCTCCATGCTTTACTGTATGAGAGGACTAAATCATTCACTAACACACAAAAGACTAAATCATTCACCAACTATTCTCCTAACATAAGCTCTTTTAGCTCCACAGATAACAGTAAAGGTACTTTTATCACTCCATAGCATTTTATTCCATTGTACGACAGTCCAGGTTTTGTGCAACTTCGCGAATACTCTTTTTTTCGCGATGTTATCAGGTCGCAATAAAGGCTTCTTCGCAGCAATTCTCCCATTCAAACCACCTTGCTGCAGACATTTTTTAACTGTGCTTGCTGTCAGATAAACTTCATGGTTTTTCTCCATGTAGGATCTCAAGCCATGGCGAAACGATTGGACTAACTCGCCCGAACCTAAAGCCGAGTCTGCTTTGTGTTAGTTTTATGAGATGGGTATACAAGGGAAAAGCACAAAGTCCATTTTTAACAGTATGGAGTTATTTACACCACTATTTAGTATTTTAAATTTTCCCTCATTTGATATACCGCACTAATTTAATAAACCAATTATTAAAGTGTTATTAAGATTCATATTTTCAACTATTACACAAAAACCTATTGGCTCATTATCTCAATAAACAAATAAATAAATAAATAAATATATCTATATATCTATATATCTATATATATATATATATATATATATATATATAATATATATATATATATATATATATATATATATATATATATATATATATATATATATATATATATATATATATACTCATATAGTGTCGCTTTAAGAGCATTTTAATGTAAAAAAAGTCTCTTACGACTACAATTTTAATTACCTCGTCTCTTAAGCTGTTTTTGATTGTCATCGAAAAGTCAAAGCAATTAATTTATGCGGAAGTACATTAAATTTAATTGTTTTTTAACAAATTTTTAAAAAACCGCAATTATAACGACTAGAAAGTTTTTTTTAATTAGTGGTGTTTTTGTTATTGATTTAATAAAAAACATTTTTTAAACATGCGTAAATGTTGCTACATCGACTATCTTATAGCCTGACTCGCAACAGAGTGCTGCTACATCGACTGACAAATAGCCTGACTCGCAACAGAGTGCTGCTACATCGACTGACAAATAGCCTGACTCGCAACAGAGTGCTGCTACATCGACTGACAAATAGCCTGACTCGCAAGGGAATGCTGCTACATCGACTGACAAATAGCCTGACTCGCAAGTGAGTGCTGCTACAACGACTGACAAATAGCTTGACTCGCAAGAGAGTGCTGCTACATCGACTGAGGGTTTGGTTTGGCCAGGCAGTCTATCAATTAAAAAAAAAAAATTAATATTTAAAACTTTTTCTGGTCTGGTTTATTAACGCGCTCTTTAAAACTACAGTTTATGGGAAATATTTTTTGATGCTACGCAAGAGACATGCAAGACTATATATATATCTATATATATATATATATATATATATATATATATATATATATATATATATATATGGTACTCAAATGAAGCAAAATTTTATAAAATTTCAAAAATAATATTCATTAAAAAAAAAAAAAATTATTTTTGGTTTTATTACTTAAAAAATTACATTTTCTAACAAAAAATGAAAAAAGAAAAATGTATGTTTTTATATGATCATTTTAATAAATAAGTTGAAATTTTTTCAAAATGAATATATTTTTCAAATTTTTATAAAATTTTGCTTCATTTGAGAACTACGTTGACTTATTTTTGAAAAACTTTTTTGTTGAAAATATTAGGGACCCATTAAATATTTCAGGGTCTTGAGTGTCCCATGAAAATATATTTTATTCAAAAAAATTTTAAACCTAGTGTTTTTGTATTAGATAGAACACATTTAGGGGGTGGGAGCAGGTTTTTATCAAAAAAGTTGTTATAAGGGCCACCCTAATATATATATATATATATATATATATATATATATATATATATATATATATATATATATATATATATATATATATATATATATATATATAGTGCTTGAAGATGAGAAAAAAAGGAAACAGGTTAGTATTCGCTAAATTAGAAATACAATCCCGCCTAATAATTGTTATATAGATTTATATATATATATATATGTTATATGTATATATATATATATATATATATATATATATATATATATATATATATATATATATATATATATATATATATAATATATATATAAACGTACCTTTTATTAAGTTGTATAGCTTGGTTAGGCTAAAAAGATTCTTTGCCTTTTCCAGCTGCCATATTAGATTTGGCCATGAGTGAATTTGTCATAAAACTAAAAATAATTTATTTTAATAATATTATATCTCATAATTTATGAAATTATAATTAACTACTGTATTTAAAATTTTTTTCTTTTTTTTTATAAAATCTAAATGTAATTAAACATTTAGATTTTAATTTAACAAGACAGTTAATCTATTAATTAAATCTAATCTTTTATCTAAAAAATAGCACACTAACCATTAATCTAAAGTTTAAAGCTATAGGATAACCTATAGCTTTAAACTTGCAAACTGGAAAAAGTGTAAATTGGCATTAGTGCGCCAAACAGGTTAGCAAACATTACGCATAGGCATAAGTGCAAAATTTGATTAAGTACAAAACAGTTACAAAAACAGGCAGAAGTGTGAACTGACATAAGTGCGTGTAATAAATTTGCAGTTTGGAATTTTGCTAAATTTTGCAAATTTATTTGGCACACTTATGCCAGTTCGCATTTATCTTGTTTGCACTTTTGCGAGTTTTTGCAACTGCTTCACACTTATACCAGTTCCCACTTATGGAAATTCACACTTATGCGAATGTTTGTAAATCTATTTAGCCCACTTATGCCAAATTACACATATGCCAGTTTGCACTTATAGCAGTTTGCAATTATGCCAATGTTTGGAATTCTTTTGTGCAGTTATGCCCATTTGCACTTATGCCATTTGGCATTGTTTGCGTGTATGAAATTCACGGTTATTCAGTCATCCCATTATAGTAAAACGGCTAACGTAGAGCCATGCATGGGATTTGTATTATGGATTGTAAAAGACAAACAAAAAACATATAAAAAATAGAACTAAAACTTTTAACTTTTTGTTTTATTTTTATTTGCTGTGGGACGCAGAAACACTTGTTAAATAGTTCTAGTTTTTGAATTTTGTTCCATTGTATACAGTGTTTTTTTTTTAACGAAAATACTTTTTGATTAAAGTCTTGTGAGTTTATTTGTTCAAAGTAGTTTGTCAGTTGCTGACCGGGGTGGACAATTCTAATCTGCGGCTGTAAAACATGATTGGTACAACTAAATTCAGATATTATCAAATAGGGGTGGGAGTTAAGGTTAGTTTTAGTCTAACTAAAGATACTTAACTAAATTTTTAGTCTAACTAAAATTAGTTAACTAACTTTTTAGTTAACTAAAAATAGTCGAGTAACTTATTAGTTAACTAAAATTACGCGACTAACTTTTTAGTTAACTAAAATTACCCGACTAACTTTTTAGTTAACTAAAATTACACGACTAACTTTCTAGTTAACTAAAATTACCCGACTAACTTTGTAGTTAACTAAAATTACCCGACTAACTTTCTAGCTGACTAAAGTTACCCGATTAACTTTTTAGCTAACTAAAATTAAGCGACTAACTTTTTAGTCTAACTAAAATTAGTAGACTAACTTTTTAGTTAACTCAAATTAGTCGACTAAATATTTAGTGTAACTAAATTAAGTCGACTAAAGCAAGATTTAGTGCTTGAAAAAAGAAATAATCTTTCGCATAAAAATTTTACATACGAGGAAGCATTATTAAGGCAATAAATATTATTTTATCGAAATTAAACACGTGTTTAATTTCGAATCGAAATTAAACACGTGTTTAATTTCGATTAGTAAAGTACTAGTAAAGCGCTTTACTAGTTGTGAATCCTAGAGCCCAGTCGAACTAAACTGTTATTTAAAAGAAATGTTTTAAGCAAAAATCGATTATTTTAATTTTTTCCCAACTCTGAGACAACTGCCTATGAAGTTGTTGCAACTGTTTATAAACACCCAATCAGCATGAAATATACTAATAATGCCCTTTAGTCAATTACATCAAATTTGGTACGCTTATTGAACGTTTAACTTACATTTTTTATGTGCTGCTTCTTATAGGAAGTGTGCAATAACAATCGCATATCAAAAATAATTTCTCCTACCAAGGCCGTACCGACGTGAGTATGGCCACCTAACCGGGGTTACAACATTCTGTCGGTTTTTTCGGTAATTTAGAAAATTTGAGACTCAATCGGTTAAAACTGCAACTTGGCTTTTAAATAAAAAAAAGCCCTACTTTGATGAGATTTTTATGGTAAAAAAGCTTATTTCATTTGCACCCCCTCCCCCTACGTCTTCGTTGTTCAGTACAGCCCTGTCCCCTGCTGTATTAAAGGAATAGATTCAATCTCTAATTTTCACAACAAATCTATGACTCCCACTCCCCACCTCTTCAAATATCAACCTCTCCTAACGGCTATTACAACCCGCAAACACTATAGTAAGGCAGGCGAAAGTATTGACATGAAACCAAAAGAAAATCGTTAAATAAATTATTATGAATTTTTTTTTTTGCTTTCAGAGTATAGTTGTTCGTCGGTTGGCGATACCTGCAAAATTTAAAAGGAAAATTGGTATTTGCATTTTTGAATGCAATATCCGCAATATAAGTTGTTGAATAGTGTATAAAATGTATTAAATAATACTTAACTGTTGAATAACGAAAACATTTTATTAAGTAACTGCGGTCGCTTTTTAAACCAGGAAATTGTTTATGACATTTTAATTACTTGAAAAATGGATACGTAGTTTTTAAGCACTTTAAAATACGTGTAAAACCGGATCGAAACAATTATAAATTAAAATTCAATAACTTTTTCATTATATTTACTTTTATATTTTTTCATTAGATAGATGTTAAAAAAATACTAAAATATATATTAATAAATATAAAAAAACAACAACCAAACTATTAAAATAATAAAGGTAAAAAAATTTACTCTTTTAGGCAACATAATAAAACCGCACGCTCAAGAACATTAAAATCACATTAATTTTTTTAATTTTTTCTTTATCTTTTTTTTTAACACATTTTAAATTTAAAAAATTATATTCATTTTTTAATTTTTTGTATCAAAAAAAAAAAAAAAATCAGTTTTACTCAAAAGAGTTCGAATACTAAATTTAATAATATTTCTTTTAGAACAATAAATGTATTAAAAAATATTTATTACAAGAAAAAACTTCAGAATTATATTTAATGAATTTAAACTAAATTAAAAAATTCCAAATTTTCGTTCAAAAACATCAATATTTGAAAACATTCAGTTTTGCTTTGCATACGTAAGTATAAGTTTGCATACGTTTTGCTTTGCATGCATAAGTGTTTAATGCCTCAGAGAAAAGGTGTTCACTTAGTGCACTGGTAGCAGGCGTACATAAAATCATTGTTGAAATACAATACATTATTGGATATACATTTATTTTTTACATTAAATATTTTCAAAATTACACAATTTATGTTTCAACATCAGTCAAAAAAAACGCCGAAGGTTTTCGAAAATATTTTCCAAAAAACATTAAACCGATACAACACGCGATCTACCGGAAGATTTAAAAAACCTTTCCGTTCATCAAAACTTACGAGCTTTGCCATTTCCTATCGTGGCCCAATGCTATGGAACCTTTTTACAAGTCTGTGTGGTAAACTTAAAGAAGCCAATACCTCTCAAAAATTTAAAAAGAACATAATCGAACTTATTGCCAATCACGATTCTTTACATGATTTTTTCTAACAATACACGATTATTTCCAATTTTTATTATCAAAGGTTACTGATGAAAAGACTTTATCTTCTTCAGGTTCTCCGGTCTTGTAACTATTATAAATAATGAAATGCACTTGTATTTAATATTTCTAAATATTTTACGGAAATTATCTTTAATTGTAAATAGTTGCTTGACAAAAATTGAAAAAAAAAAAAAAAAAAAAAAATACATGTTAATTTTGATACCAAAAGTGTAAAAACATTTTGCTCATTAACTGACAATTTTATATAACCACTAATTTCTCTTTTTAAATCTAAACTTATTATCACTATCGTTTCCGGAAATATCATCTTTATCGTTAAATGATAACTTAAATTTTTTAATTTGTTGTTCACCTTTTTAAATAGAATTATATCACAAACTTTTTTTGTTTAATGAAGTTTCGACAAAAATTCTCTAACACCTTTAAAAAAATTTTTTCCCTTGTACTTTTCAAAGAATCGAAAACTTTTATAATTTGGATCCAAAAAAGTGGCACATAATAAAACCAAGTAATTGTAATATACTGTAGCTTACAGAACCGGCACAAGTAGGTAACACGTAGAGAGTGCCGTTAAAATTTTACTTACTATAAATAGGAAAAAAAAATTCTTGTTTTTATTTACCAACTGACTGTTCTGAAAATCTACATTTGCCAACTTACTTATCTAAAAGAGTCAAATTGGCTTACTAAATGAGCTAAAAGTTCATTGATGGGATGTCACACACGAAACCAACCAATCCATCCTTACACCCCTTTGCGTTGGCCTTGGTAGCTTATTCAACTCTATAGATATTTGTGTTTTACTATGTTTACTTTTTAATTTTTTATGAAAAATTTTCTTGAAGTATCTTGTTTATAATATTTTCTTGAAGTAAATTATTTTGATATTTTTTTATTTTTGCGGTATTATGCAATAAAATGATTATGCATTCGCAATCTTATTCAAAAATTCTAATAGAAATGATATCATGTACCCAAATTAATTATATTATATATTTATAAAATTCTTTAGTTGGACTAAAAACAAAGTCGCGTATGTTTAGTTAACAAAAAGCTTAGTCGGTTAATTTTAGTTAACTAGAAAGTTAGTCTGGTATTTTTAGTTAACTAAAAAGTTAGTCGACTGATTTTAGATAACTAAAATGTTAGTCGGGTAATTTTAGTTAACTAAAAAGTTAGTCGGGTAATTTTAGTTAACTAAAAAGTTAGTCGCGTAATTTTAGTTAACTAAAAAGTTAGTCGACTGATTTTAGTTAACTAAAAAGTTAGTCGACTAATTTAAGTTAACTAAAAAGTTAGTCGGGTAATTTTAGTTAACTAAAAAGTTAGTCGCGTAATTTTAGTTAACTAAAAAGTTAGTCGACTGATTATAGTTAACTAAAAAGTTAGTCAACTAATTTTATTTACGGTATTTTTAGTTTAGTTAGTTAAAATTTTTAGTTTTGGTCACAACACTAATATCAAAGTGGTTTCTTATGTTTTATTTTAATAGTTCAGTATTTTGGTTGTTCAGTGTTTTAATAGTTAAATGTTAGTTATGATAGTTAAATTGAAAATAAAATGTTCAAATTTTGAAATTTTTTATTCAAAACTTTCTTAATAAAAAAAACAGCACAGAAAAACAACTCACTGGTTGTAACTACGGATCAACACGACTTATAGTAACTATTTTTTATCAACCGGAAAAAGATCTGTTGCTTAAGCAAAAGGTTCCAACATATGGACCAATTCTTGCAGCTAGTTCAACTCTAAGACTAATATCAAGAACGAAAACGAGAATAAAATCAATATTATAGTAATAGTAATACAAATTGCTGTAACGACGATTGTCGCGGAGTATAAAGTTTAAAATTTATACTTTAACAGCCGTTAACAAATGTTTATCTAGTCTAGCTTTAAAAGAATTTACTGTCATTGCAGAAACCACTTTTTCAGGTAAAGCATTTCAATGAGGTATCACTCTGTTTGTAAAAAAATTATGTCTCGGTGTTGTTTTTGCAAATTCTCTTTCAAATTTCATTGGATGACCTCGAAGTCTCTGGGAAGAAGCTTTATTTGGTTCTTTATACCATAATATCTTATCAATCCCAGTTGTTAATTTAAAGAAAGCAATGAGATATCCTCTTATACGTCTTGTTTCCAGAGTTGTGAGGCCCAACTTTGTCAATCTTTCGGTATAACTTAGATGTTTTAGTTCAGGGGCTAGCTTTGTTGCTCGCCTTTGAATTTTTTCTAGGTCATTGATATTGTTTTTATTACTTGGACTCCACACTGGAGCTGCGAATTCCAAGTGTGGTCTAACCAACGATGTGTATAGTTGCCTTACCATTTCAGTGTTAAGATAAGTAAAGCTTTTTCTTATTAAATACAGGGGTGGGACCGCAAAATGTGAACGTTTTTGTTTTATTATAACTATTTTTTGTTTTATTATAACTATTATAACTATTTTTACTCTCTCACTCATCAGAAAGTGTCTAAAGAGTTGTTAAATATGAACTATTTTAAATAAGAATGTCCAACCATTGGACATTCTTATTTAAAATAGTTCATATTTAACAGAAAATTAATTAATACAATCAGAAAAGTGTTCACATTTTGCGGTCCCACCCCTGTATAAGATTCTTTGTGCTTTACTTGTAGCTACTTGAACCTGATGATTCCATTTCATATTGGATGAAACTATTACACCCAAGTCAAGTTCTTTTGTTGTTATTTTTAGAAGAAAACTTTGATTGTCGTGCTTTATAGTGTAGTTATAGTTAATATTTTTTCTTCCAATGTGCATAACACTGCATTTATTCATGTTAAAGTCCATTAACCATACATTTGACTATTCAGTTAACAAATCAATGTCATTTTGCATATTAGTTAGATCATTATGTTCTTTTATAACAGATTTTAGTATCATCAGCGTATAATTTTGCGATTGAAGAGATACATTGGGGAAGATCATTGATATATAACAGAAAAAGAAGAGGACCTAATACAGAGTCCTGTGGTACACCACTATAAACCTCACACCAATCTGATACAACTTCACCGATTACCACTCTTTGTTTTCTGTTTTTTAAAAAAGAATCAATCCAATTTAAAATATTGCCTTTAATTCCATAGTTAGAAATTTTATGTATAAGTCGATAGTGGGGCACCTTATCGAACGCCTTTGCCAAATCTAGGAACAATATCAACTGGATAACCATTTTCAATTTCAGTTGTAATAATATCGAAAGTTTCTAATAGGTTTGTTAGGCATCCTTTATTTTGTATAAATCCATGTTGTTGAGACGTTAACAGATTGTTTTCTGTTATATAAATTATCAGTTTTTTTCTAATTATTTTCTCTATTATCTTACTTGGTATCGATGTTAAGGAGATAGGTCTGTAGTTGAGTGGATCTTTCTTGTTTCCTTTTTTAAAAAGTGGTGTAATGTTTGCAGATTTCCATAATTCTGGCAACTCTCCTGAATGTATCGATTTCTTGAATATTAAAGACAAAGGTTTGGATAATCCTTCTGCACAATGCTTTAGCACATAGGGACTGATGTTATCACAACCAAGTGACTTGTTTTCATTAAGTTCTTATAAATAATTAAATATAATATCTTCTTTTAGTTCTTGGTCCCAGTCACATTCAAATAAATGACTAGTTTTATTGCTGAAATATGGTAAATCTTGATTTTCTTTGACAAATACTGATTGGAAACTACAATTTAGTAGATTAGCAATTACTTTTTTATCAGTTATTATTTTGTTGTTACTAGTTTTAAGTGCTAGCAATTTTGTATGTGTCTGGTTTTTTATTTGTGCATATGCATAGAAGCGTTTTGGATTATGTTTTACATCTTTTGCTAAGTTTATTTCATAATCAAAAGTAGATTTTTTAATTTGTTTTTTAATTGTTTTGTTGATAAGTTTGTATTCATTATTTAAGTTTGTGTTCTTGAAGTTTGTAGCACGAACTCTGCACCATAAACTACGTTTTTTTCTAACTAGATTCTTGATTTTTTTATTAATGCATGGATTTTTGATAGAACTAGTGGGTTTGAAGTGGCAAGGAATATATTGTTTGCAAGCTTTTTCATAAATTTTTAAAAAGTATTTATAACATTGATTTGTATTCATTTTGTCAAAGATTTCAACCCAATTTACTTTATAAAATATGAGATTCATTTCTTTGTACTTTCCGTTTCGAAAATTAAATCTCTTATTGTTGAATTTTTTCTCATATGAATTGAGTATGTTAATTTCCCATTTTAATATGTAATGGCTTTTAGTAATTTGACCAAGTGGAGCATCATATTCAATGTTAATTATTAAATCTAGATCGTCGCATATTATTAAATCTAATATATTTGCTGGTTTATCAACAGCCATTTGAAAAGTTGGCTTGTTAACTACTTGATGTAAATAATTGTTTTGCAAGTTATTAATAAATGCTTTGCTTGTTTGGCAGTTTTGTTTTAGCTCGATAGTTCCGTCTTCATTCCAAATAATATTTGGGTAATTAAAATCACCAACAATTATTACATTTGAGTATTTTCCATTCAGTACTTCCTTTTTTGCAGTTTTTATTAATTCATTAATTGCATTATTTATTAGGTCAGTACTGTTTGGTGGTCTGTATATACATCCAACTAATATTTTTGTTTTATGAAGTACAATGCTACACCATATTTGTTTAACTTCTTTATATAAAGGTGAAACTGATACTTCATAAGCAATTATATCATATTTTGTAAAAATTGCAACACCTCCACCTTGTTTGTTTGTTCTATTATTGTAAAAGCAGTTGTAGTTGCTAATATTTATAATTAAGTCATTTTTGAACCATGTTTCAGAAATAAGTATGATATCTGGTGAGTCGATCATAATTTTTGTTTTAAACTCTGTTATTTTATTTACTAAAGACGTAGAATTTGTATACCAAAACTTAAGATAGTTAGACTTTTTATTGAATGGAAAAATAATGTCAGATTTGTTTTTATTTACACTAGATAATGAATTAATTTTTAGTTTTTTCACTTTTCTTGACTTTGACAATTGACTCATTTTTGACAATATACCGAAAGGGCTGGTTATTATCAGCATTATTTAAACGATTTTTTTCTTTTAGAAGCAATTTTCTGCTTTCACGTTGTGCAAATGTTAAATCCTGATTTATATATACTTTTTTTTTATATTCGACATTATATTTCAAATTGCTTGCTGACTTTAAAATGTCTGCAACTTTTTCTTTATTATTTAATTCTACTAATACAATACCAGGTTTGTCGGTTTTTGATTTTAGGCGGTGGTGTCGTTTAATAAATGATTCATCGACCTTTAGGTAATTAAAGATTTTTTTTATTTGCTCGTTTTCACGTTGTGTATTTTCTTCAGTTGATTTATTTAATTCATCAAGACCGTGTAGAATCAAATTGTATTCTCTTCTAGATTTTTCTTTATTTTCAGCTGAAATCGCGGTTAGTATTCTTGTTTCTTCTGGTTCAAGAGATTTGTTATGAAACAAGCTACTAAAAAGTGGTTTGCTGTTAATTTGATTATTTTTGCTAATAATTTGAGCTTGATTATCTTCTAAGAACTTCAATTGCTTTTCTAAGTCAAGATTTTTAGATAGTAATTTTTTTACCAGATCTTCCAGTGCTAGAATCTTTTTGTTAGTCTCTTCTTCGAACGTATCAAATTCTCCTTTTCGAACGTTGACCATATTGATTTACGTACTCAATATATTTATTATTTATTTATTTTTCTTGATTACTATCTCTATTTAATGTATGTAGTTAATATTCTATTTTGATTACTTTTTGTTATCAAAAACATCGGCCATCTTTTTTACGCGGTTTTTGAAAATGTTGAAAATGTTTTTGAAAATATTGTGAAAAAAGAAACAACTGATAGCGGCTACTACTTATCACCCGGAATAAAATCTGTTGCTTCATCAAAAGGTTCCAATATATGCACCAATTCTTGCAGCTGGTTTTACTCTGTGACCTTTAATATCAGATTTTCTTTGCTTGGCTCACGCAAAAAAGTGCCTAAATTGGTTTGATCAAGTAAAACATTTGCCTTTAACTGACTAAATTTACTGTCCGAACGAAACTCTTTTTTAAATGAAACACAATATCTTTTTTTTACATAGCAGACAACTGAAAACAGCCAGGATACATTGGTCCGATAATGGCTAGCTATAAACTGTAGGTAAGATTTTGGTCATCTTTTTTTTGTTTAGATAAAAAAATTGTCATTAACGGTTAATTTTTGGTGAACTGATTTTTTTTTATTGGTGATCTGAATTTTTTATGTACTGATCATACAATTACTCATGTCTGCGAAATAAATGTCTAAAATATTGACAAATTTGTAATATAAATTTATCATCTTTTAAAATATTTTTTTTTTGAGCTAAAGTGAAATAAATGAACAAAAGAGAACTGTAAGAATATTAACTATTGTGAATGTGTGAAAACAAATTATTCGTATTTCCTGATGTTTCACCGTATGTTTCTTTCATACTTTAATGATAAGTATTACATTTAAGTATTACATTTATAAGAAAATTTTGAATCCGATTTTCATGATTGATGGCTAATCGCCATCCATTATTACATTTTTTTAAGTTAAAAGAAGGTAATTAAACTATTGTTTATTAGTTCAAAATAGCATTTTATAAATGAAATTATTTTAAAAAACTCTATTAGTAAAAATACATTACTAACATTTTTTGTGTATAGATTTATTATTTAATATATAAGGTGAATGAACACCATAAATAAATTAAACAAATGCTTTATAATAACATATAATTTAAATAAAATAAAAATATTTTAAATCAAAAAACCTTTAAAAGTTTGTTTTTAATTGAAAGAAAAGTTCTCATATTAAAAATCCTTTTTTCAAAATTAAATGTTTTAATTAATAAATAACTTCAAAACAAATCATATAATATAGATATTATAAAGGGTAGCAGTAACAGTATTGAATACAGCCAAACTGAACTAATTAAAAAAGAGACTTTCGGGGTTATTATCGAAAAAGAGAATAAAATTGAAATTGTGAATATAGTATCGAAAATCCTAAAAGAAGTATAAAATCTATATTTGAAAAAAACAATTAACATTGAAATAATTAAAAACTAAACAAAGTGGAATATGATTAAATTTTTTTATTTGATAGACTGCCTGGCCAAACTGCTTCTTGCATGTTTTGCCTAATTATCAGTCAAAGTAGTAACATTCCGTGCATTTTCTACTATTTGTTATTCGATGTAGCACTCATTGCATGTTCTAGTTTACTAGTTTTTGGATACTATTCTTAAATCCGAATTTCGATATTATTCCGCATAAGTATTTTTGACATTATTCTTTCAAAGCGAGTTTTTTTTTTTTTAATATACAAACACGAAAGAAAGTTCTAAATTTAATAAGGAGGAAAACCAAAACGTTCAAGGCTAAGACCAACAATATTGTTATACTAACAATACACAAAAATGCAAGACGAACAATCCAAATGATATAAATTTATAAAACTTAAAAAAATTTTTTTTTAAAGCGTTGAGGCATTTTTAAACAAAAGCGAGCTTAATTAAACGCCTTCGAAAAATTGATCATGAAATAATAACTAAATAACATGTTGCAGTATAAGTTTTTATTTAACTTTATTGTAGATTAGTAGTTATATTTTAGAGTTATAATTACAGAAAATGTACTGTTTGAAAAAAAAAAAGCTATGATTTAATATAAAAAAGAAAGTTAAAATTAAATACAAATAAATAAATTAGACCTTTAAATTAATATAGTTTTAAACTATTATATTAATTGGTATATGTGTTAAGCTATTGTTACTTTAGTATACAAGTTTTTGTAACAAAACTAAAAATATATAAATAGTATTCTAACACCATTATAAACTAGTTTAAACGCGATTTTTATATTCTAGTTATTTATTGACTTAGTTAACCTGATTTTAGGGTCACTTATGTTTATTTAACCCTTCCATTTAAATCGTTGAATCCAAGTATCGTTTACAGATTTTCGGAAAAACAAACCGTCTTCATTTCCTTAAAAATAAGAAATTGTTATTATTATACATTACAATAAAAACGTTATACAATACCTAGAAAGCACAACACTTTGGAGACAGGATATTATAAATAAATAAGACGGGTAAAACTAAAATGTGATAAATGAGCATATACTATATTCTAATAGTGTACTACTAAACGGTGATGACAGAGTTCATCAAATACTTAAATGAAATTAAAACTCTTCTAATTTTTATATATTTTTTTCTTGTCCTTTAATTATAAAATATAAAATTAACAATAACAAAATCAAAAATTATTTAAATATAGTTAGATCTTGCTGACATATTTAAAAACAAGGTAAGAAAAAAGTGCATAAAAGTAATACAGTCAAATGGGTAATATGGTCACTTTCCTAAAACTAAAAAAACACAGATGTTTTTTCAGAGATAATGCTGTTATACGATATTTCTTAGCCAGTCAATCAAATATTATGAAGTCTTACGGACACTGTTTTACTGACGCCATTTCGACAGCTTGCTGACTTCGCTCAAGCAGAGTTTTGCGTTCTGCTTTTAAATCTTTTTTTGAAACTACAATGTTTTAGCAAGATTTTAAGTTTTAAGTGTATAATTATATATTGCGCTAGAGTAAATAGATTTACTCTAGCGCAATATATTGCATTTTAAGATATGTCAAGTGACTTTTCGAGTTTCTTAACTAAGTTTTTTGTTAAAAGTTAATATGTACCAACCTGTTAATATGGTCTCCTAAAATTTTCAGTATCACTATTTTTTAGCATGGAAATAGTAGGAAAAGGTTTATAATACTTTTGTTAGGAATATCTCATAAATTGTGCTCATACATTGAAACGCAAAAATAACTGCATTTTGTGTTTGCGTTCCAAAATAAAAACTTGTAAACATACTCAAACGCATTTGACGCAATTTATTGCGTTTACTTACGTAAACCTAAACGCAATATACGCAAATAACTGCTTTTACGCAAGCATTTAATACGCAACTTAACGCATATAAAATGCGTTTACTAACGTATTTATATATATATATATATATATATATATATATATATATATATATATATATATATATATATATATATATATATATATATATATATATATATATATATATATATATATATATATATATATATATATATATATATATTCCATTTCCTTTGCTGTATCACAAAAATTACAATAAGAAAGATTGTATATATATCGCATATTTATGTGCAATATGTACTAAAATTACTTACTTTGAGGCAGTCTTTTTGCCCTTTGTTCTTTGATCTTACAGTTTAATTATTATATTTCATTTTTTTTAACAATTGTTTTCATTATCTTCTTCAGCTTTCTTATTTTTTTGTGTTTAGGATAGGGTGGGTCAAGATGTTCATAAGTCACGTTCCCTGTGCATTTGAACAATATTGTTTAATTTATTTTAAATACTAATGTTTTAAATATTTATATATTCAAACAATTGGTTTTAATCAAGTTAAAACCTTTTAAATGATTTTGTTAGTAAATTACAGAAAAAGTTCTAACTTTATTTATAAAAATTTAAAACAATAGAATATAAGGAATTAAACAATATTAATCTACCTAGAACTCACAAATGCACAAGAGACACGACTTTAAGAATATCTTGCTCTATTAAAAGTTAAAAAAACTAGTTTATCGTATCTTTAATGTTTGTGTGGTTATGATAAAGAAATGTTTGTTTTGTTGGTAATTTATTCAAACTATAAAATTCCAAAACTCAATCAATAAAACTAGTTTATTTGCAAATAGCTAGCTTAGGGTGAAAGAAAATGCCCATTTATGTGTGGGGCAAAACGTCCTGTAATTATTTAGTTTTAAAAATTATCAGGTAACTTTATTTCTTTTGAAACAAAACATAAACATTAAAACCAAATATTTACACGGCGTGT